CGACCGTGTCGGGGAAGGCAAAAATGTGCAGCCCTGGGGAGCGGCCCAAAGGAGGATTAACGGAGGGAGGGCGGCGGGGAGGGAGGACGCGGAGCCGTGCGTGGGGGTGGTGGGGAAAAGCCTCGGGCACAGCGGAGGGACGGGGTTGCAGATAGACGTGTTTTCTGTCAGTCCCGAGAGGGGGGTGTTGGCTGGCGGCAATAGCGTTGGGATTCCCATTTCCTTTTTCTTTTTGTCTGTATTTGTAATAGGTTAAGCAAAATGCAGGCTCCTCTGGCTCTCCTCAGCTCTCCAGCTGTGGTAAGTCTCCTTTCTTCAGAAGAGTTCAGTAATACTTAGTGGGGATACATGATTGTTAAGTCTTTCTGTGTGATGCTTGGTTCAAAATGCTGTCCTGGACGCCCTCAGCTGAGGTGGGCTCATGTGGATTTGTTTTACTGTGGATTTAACAAGGAGGGGAAACAAGGTGACCTCTGGTGACCGGAGGGTGATACCTACCATCTTAGTAGATGTGCATTGAACTGCAGGCCCAAGGGCTTCTCCAAAGATTAGTTAACTATCACAGAGACACTCCTTTACCTCTTTCTCTCGAGGTGTGCATTGCGAAGAAAATGTATGGAATTGTAGCAATGACTGAACTGCTGTAGCAGATATGACACTCATGCTGCAGTGTGTGGTCTGTGGTGGTATTACTCATGGACTTAATACAATTGGCTAAACTAGACATATCCTAGAGTTGCATATGCCTTTGCTTTTTAGTCTTGTTTCATTCTTGAGATGTCTTATAAAAATTCTAAGGCTGTTCTTCATAAAATAACTGTTCTTTTCTGAGGGTTAGTGTGGACACATCCAATTATAGGAGTTAATTGTCTGTGTTTCACTCCAGTTCCGGTGCTGTTCCAGGGCTCTGGCCAGACCAGTTTCAGTCTCTGTTTTCAGCAGGCCTGAGGTTCAGACTGTACAGGTGAGACTCTTATGTGGCACCTTGGGCCCTGTATTTCTGTGCTTGCTGCCTGTGATACGTGATGGTTTCTCCTGAGATGGAGTAAGTTTGTATATCAAGAGGATGGCTAATATGGGGACATAGTTTCTAGCCCAGATTGGTGACGGCTTTGCAAGCTTGGCTGATTTTGCTCTGCCTTGGGTAGAGGGTAAACGTTGATAATGTTTTATTTAAAAAAAAGTTTATATTTATGATTAAAAGTGTCATTAGCATATTTTTTTTCCTGTATCCTGCAGCCAGGTGGTGTTTCCCATCCACAGCTGACCCACCGCGAGTTCCAAACCAGTGCTGTTTCCAGGGATATTGACACTGCTGCTAAGTTCATTGGTGCTGGTGCTGCCACGGTTGGGGTGGCTGGTTCAGGAGCGGGTATTGGGACGGTGTTTGGCAGCTTGATCATTGGCTATGCCAGGTAAGTAAGATGCCAGGCTGGCTTGAATTTATTCCCTTCTTCCAGCACTAAATTTGGTAGATCAGTAGAGCTTTCTCTGGAATATATGTCCAGCTCTACATGTGTAGTGTATATAAGCAGATAAATGTGTTTAACTGAAGCAGTCCTCCTTGGGATATAAAATGGTTGTTATAATCCATGATTCTATTAAAATAAATTAGAAAGTGCCTAAATTGTTCGAATCCACCCTATACTTGCTTCTGAACGATGCAGCTGCTCTGTGGAGCTCTTCCTGCCTCTAGAAGAAATGAAGCACTAGTTATTAGCAGGAACCATTGCTTGGTGCCGCCAGGGCAGGTGAAACTAGCCTTCAGGGTTCAACATGTCTATGTTGCTAAAACCAGGGAAAAATGATGGCTTTCTCATTCCAGCCGGTGGCTGCCTGCCATAAAACTGGTTTATGCCCCAAAATCCATTGCCTGTGTGACATAATCCTGGCTTTCTGTGATACGGGCTCTGGTTTGGGGTTTGTTTGTGGGGTTTTTTTTTCTCACTGTGGATCCTTTTTTGTATTTTTCCTTCTCTCTCTGGTTTGTTCCTCCTTGTACAACATACAGGAATCCATCTCTCAAGCAGCAGCTCTTCTCCTATGCCATCCTGGGCTTCGCTCTGTCTGAGGCCATGGGTCTCTTCTGTTTGATGGTGGCATTCCTTATCCTCTTTGCTATGTGACAACTTCTGGTCCTGGCTGCGGCTTCCATCACTCTGTCCTCTGCGGTTTGAGTCTGCTTCCATCAGAGCGTTCCAGACTGACAATTAAAGAAAAGATTTCTCTAAATAAACTGGTGGTTTTATTTTTTTTATTTTTTTTTTTCTTTCTTATGTCCTGGTCCAGTGGTGGGGAAGTCTGTGGGTGAGTTGATGTATTGGTTGAAGGGGGTGATAACCCAGGTATGGGGGCACTCACTGATAAAGCAGAAGGGAAATATGAAAAGGTGATGAGAAGGAAGGAAAACTAATGTGAAGTCAGCTAGGGTAAGAGAGGATGTCCTTGAACAGCTCAAATCTTCGCAAAAATCCCAACAAGCATTGCCCTAGTAAAGCAAATACTTCTAGATGAGCTGAGGAGGAGTGGTTTTTTCCACATACTGTTGTTGAGAATGCTGTGCCTTTGTTTTTTTAATCTGAAAGACAGTCTGTAGAAAAGGTGATGGGTACAGGTGAGTGTGCTTAGAAGTGTATTAATGGTGTTTGCATAACTAAATTGCTAGTAAGTACACAAGGGTAAGCACTGCTGTATCAGCTGAATGTTCTTCTTTCACAAAGAAGAGCTGGTTTCAAGGTCACATGATTCATGTGCCGCCTCGAAGCATCAATTTACATGAAGGACCACAGCCTAGTTACATTTCTTCTTTTCCCCCCCAACAGTTACATGCTTCAGCTGTGTTAGAGATTGGAGTATACTAGGGAGGAGAAATGCTAAAATCTAACCTGCATCTTGGACCTTGTGGTAAGACAGCTGTGCCTTTAAGGAAGATAGGAAGGTGAGCACTGGGTGAGAGTTATCTGCTTTAGGTAATTGAATTAATGCAGCTACTGTGTGCGCTTAAAGCCTCTGAAGCATGGTTGTGACCTCCCTGGGGATATGAACGGGGTACGGGAACTGCTCTGTTCATTTGCAATAGCTGCTTACACTCTGTTGAGGGGAAGGTGGGCTGAGAAGAATTTGACTCAAAAAACTGTCCCTGAGACTTCTTGGAGAAACCAAAAAGAACTTGAGAGGCAAAATACTCCATCTGCAGCCAGGCTGGCTTCTGGGGACAAATGTGTAACCCTACAACAGCGATACTGTGCTTTGGGAATCTTCTCTGGGTGTTGATGGCAGGTTGTAGCGATCAGCATGTCAGGCACTCAACTCTGTCTGTCTTGGGAAAACAACACTCTTGCCTGCCTCTAAGCTGGTTATAGTAATTCTCCCTTATGCATATGAAACTGTGCGTAAATAACTTTTGTTGTCGTATCCCTGGTAAAACAAAAGTGACCTTGCAACGAAAATCGCTCACTCTCTGTTGCACACTGTTACTGGAAGGTGCTTCTAGGCAGTTCTGGCGGCTGTTGTAGGGGTGAGGTGGGCCTTGTAGGCCAGAAGCAGAGCTGCTGCTTTCCTGGGAGCCAGAGTAAAGGCCTCCATCCCCCCTCGCACCTCTCCGGACGGGCTGTTTTCCTTCCTGACCCTTTCCCCAGGCTGTGCACCCAGGGGAGGGCTTTGGGTGCTGCCTGAGAACATGGCCTTGCCTCGGTCCAGGCTGAAACGCTGCCCCACCTGTCTCTGGAGGCTGAGGCGCGGTGACAGCGAGTTTGTTGCAGCAGCCGCTTCCCAACAGAGGGAAAAAAGAGGGTTGGTTTTTTTTTTCTCCACCCAAAAAGCCCCAAACTGGTCGTTTGCTGCCTCCAGCCGGGGAGACCCCCGCCAGTAGGGGGCGCGCTCTTCCCAGCGGTACACTCTAGCCTACCACGAGGCGTCTCTGTGGCAGGGGCGCTCTGGCGCCGGTGGGGAGTTGGGGGGGGTGAAGTGGGGAGCGGGGGAGGTGCCGCTCTGGCCGGCCATCGGTGGTGGAGTCGAGAGGCGGGGGCCGCTCTGGCCGGCGGACTCGCTGGTGCGGAGTCCCGGAAGCAGCGTTCCTCCGAGGCCGGGCGCGGAATGGCGGAGAGTCCGGCCGCCGAGGAGGCGGCCCCGGCCGCGGTGCTGGCGGCGGCGGCGGGGAGGGGCGGGAACTCGGGC